TCTTCAGGTTCTTACTACAATTTATTCTACGGGAAGGATTCTATAAATGTATTTGTCTTCATTTAAAATTGTTTATATTGCTTGTTAACTGCTTTGGGAAGATGGTTACATTGAAAGACAGGATATAAATAATCATAAGTAATGTGCAAAGCCATAAAATACACTTTGTAAACAGTGTCTAATTTATGTAATGCACTATGCCAAAATTAACCAAATCACATTATGACCTAGTGGGTACAGTGTGAGAATCAGGTCTACAGCTTGCATTCAGTCATAGAGGTGACTGTCAAAATTCTTAGATGGGATACTGTGTGGAAGCCAACTTGGAACTTGATTGAATGTAGGCTGTCATATGCAAAAATCCTGGATTAAGATGCCTCAGGGACTAGATTTGCATGACTTCCCTGATCAAGCTGCTCTCTTGGTGAGCTGATTTATTCCGTGCTAATGGCACTTGATAACTGAGGGCCCACTCAACTGGCAGTCTGAATCCTTGCAGCCCCAAAGAAGGAAGCTGTTAAACTATGGGTGTTTGGAAGGTAGGAAGAGCAGATTCATACTCCTACCTTGTTCGGATGACATAGCTGAGCAGTGGTGGGTTTCAAAAATTGTTTGATCTTATCTGTGGGTGTGGCCTCCTTTGTGGGAGTGGTTTGCTGCCCATGTGACCGGATGGGAGTGGCTTGCCGCCCATGTGACTGGATGGGAGTGGCTTGCCGCCCATGTGACCGGATATGAAGATGCCAACGACACTTGTCAGAACCACCTTAAATTACCTCATACACAGCACTGGCATGCATAAGAATATGACGTAAACTTGTTTTTTAAAAGGCATCTTTGGTTTGCGTTAAAACAACTTCAACACACGCAATGTTCTGATTGCACCACAAACGCAGTAGCCATCCTTACCTTTCACAGAGGCTCTGAGTTTTATAAATATGAGCATGATAGTGTAGAATAATCATATCCAAGGACCATTGGTGGGTTTTAAAATTTTTGGGAACCTCTTCTGTAGGTGTGGCCTGCTTTCCGGGTCTACTGGTGGAACCTCTTCTAACCGGTTCGGTAGATTTGACGAACTGGTTCTACCAAATAGGTGCGAACTGGTAGGAACCCACTACTGTAGCTGAGGCATGAAAAGTCAGTTTAGTTCCAAAAAGTCCCAGGTTGTTTTGAGGATAATACTGACAGGTTAGTTTCTAGAACAAGGTTATGGAGTAGAAGGTTGGTGTTATATAACACCTTACTTACCCTAAAACTGGATATTATTTAAACACAGTTGAACATGGCCATTTTTTATGTATATTTTGGAAGCTGTAACTAGTTGTGGATTCCCATTCAAAGTGAAGACCGCCTCAAATTGAGCTCAATGCCTGGGGATTTTCTTTCCCTATTGGCAGTTGTGAAGATGATTTCCTGTAGACATGTTCCAGGATGTTCATAACACTATTTTTTCTCAACTTCTTTCAACAGCTCTAGAATTTTCATTATCTGCATATTACGTACAGCAAAAACAATTGCCGCAGATTGTAAGCTCAGATTTCACACATTAATTCCTATATTAAGTAGGTTGTTCATAAATGAAACCAAAGGCCATCTCAAACTTACCACTCAGGACTTAACGGAGGAAGTGTTAACATTATTCCGTAAATATCTGGTACTAATTCTTGTTAGTTTTAAAACTAATAAAACTATTAAAGATATATTTAACTCTTTTTAAGTTTCTGAAAGCCAACTGGTTGCTTTCAGGCTGCCATTACTCTATACCTAATTCTAGATGCAGTTTTATTTGAAAGAATGTAGGCTTGTCTGGATAATGGCTGTAAGGAGTTCTGAATAGTGAATGGGAGACCCAGTCAGAATGCTAAGACTCCCAATAATAACTTGAAGATGATAAAAAGTAATGTTCAGCAGCCAGGGGCAACAGAATATTAGAAACATTTCCCTAAGTTAATTTTTCTTTCTCCTTCCCTTGTCTGTCCAATCGCCTTCCTTCTCTTCCTCCATAAGCTTTCCCTTTCATCTTAATTTGGAAGTGGAATAAGGGCCACTTCAGAAGAACTAGTGAAAAGTGTCTATAAGAGATGGTGCAGTACTAAACTTTGCAGCCCCACATGATGCTGAGATGTTGTGCAAGAGATTGTGCGGTGTGTTACTCAGATGACAGTACTTCTTTATATTTGAGGTTGTTTCTAATTCATAACTCTTGTAGATGGTTCCATTACAGCTAACAAAATGGATGCAGGAATGAAAATACTGGTGGATGTAGGGAATCACTATTTTTGTTCTTGTAACTTTTAAGAACTTTCTGACTTCTAATAGCAATGATATCTTATAAAAATTGTAGTCTTCAGATGTGATGAGCGTCTTTTAAAAGCAGCTCCACATCAATTTCAAACATAAGTGCCAACAATTGTTGAGTGTCAAGGATCTCATCATATATGATTACTCTGTTTCAAAAGTAATGTTCTTTCAAAATATACTCATTTAAATGGCACTAATGTTTGCCATACTCCTCACAATTAAGCTAAAAGATTTAACAGAAATAATGTTAAGGATGAAATGCCACTTTTATTCCAGAGCTGCACAAAATTACCTGGACTATGGGCTAAGCTTATTTTAGAGGGTAGAAGGCAAAATGGCTGCTTTTCTAAAGTAGTGGAGCCAAGACAAAAACGAGATTTGCATTTAATAGCAATAGCAATTAGACTTATATACCGCTTCATAGGGCTTTCAGCCCTCTCTAAGCGGTTTACAGAGTCAGCATATTGCCCCCAACAACAA